AAAGGCTCGTGCATGTGTGATACATATAACGCTCTCACTGGCGTCAATTGCACATGTGTGTTTCCATCTGCCATTGCCGATCATGAATTTGGTTGACACTTCTATTACAGAGAAAGGGCAAATAGCAATATTAAAATATTTCTTCTAATTAATTTCCTTTCACTGTGCACAAATTTGTGCACCGAGCCACTAGTTATTAATAACAAACTACAACATTCACTAATGATTGATTACTATAATTGTGTTGCATTCATCTCCCTTACACGCAGGCGCACCATTTCTCTCCACTAATACTAGCAACGAATATTTTAAGCAGCCGATGGCCACGTCATTAGTCTTGTACTGACTTGTTTGGTGTGCACAACAGGAAATAATTTGCTTTCGGAGAATAAGAAAAATAGGTTTATTTGCATTACGCTTATTAATTTGTGCAGTTATTCAGTGTCTGGTGAGTTAATGTTCAAGAAAAAATATTAATTTTTTTAAAAATTAAATCTTTATTGTTCAGATTATTACAGTTGTTCCTCTTTTTTCCCCCCATAGCTCCCCTCCACCCAGTTCCCGCCCCACCCTCTGCCCTTACCCCCCTCCACTGTCCTCATCCATAGGTGTACGATTTTTGTCCAGTCTCTTCCCGCACCCACCACACCCCTTCCCCCCCCAGAATAGTCAGTCCACTCCCTTTCTATGCCCCTGATTCTATTATGTTCACCAGTTTATTCTGCTCATCAGATTATTTATTCACTTGATTTTTAGATTCACTTGTTGATAGATGTGTATTTGTTGTTCAAAAACTATTAATTTTTATTAAAATGTCCTACTATTTTATGTTAACAATGACTCATTTATTTCAGCCCTTTGTATTCAGCATGTCTCTATTGAAATAAACCTATGCTTCTGTGAAAATTGAAGCTTCTGTTTTTGTGTGGCCACATACACTTCCACCTTGTATGTTTGGCCATGTTAGCCTTTGAGTTTGACACGCTTGCTATAGACCCACCCCGCATCCTCCTGTGGTTTCCGTCTCAGGCCCACTCCGCTCTGGGCCTGCACAGGGCAGTGCACACACTGGCTTGTTTGACTTTCTGCTGAGAGACCCCTCAACACATGACCATTCCTGGACCCCCAAGTGGTCAGTTCCCAGGAAAGACCAGGGCCCGTTCCCCTGGGCGCCACAAAGAGCAGCCGTGTGACCACCTCAGGGCTCGAGTCTGCAGGTGGCAAGGCTTACTGTGGGGAGCATGTCCTGGGACTGGAACTGACGTGGAAGCTGCTCCCTGAGCCAAGGGTTTTCACAGGAACAGAGAGGAACCAGTTTGAACCTGTCTGTTTGAAAAACACCCTGAGTGCAAGGAACCTTGAACATCCAAATGTGCTGAGGAGCTGTGCCGAGCAGATGCGACGAAGCCTGTGGTGGTGACCCGGTCAGGCCTGCGCTGCAGGACGCGCCTCGGGCGGCCTGGGGCGCAACCACCTGTTCAGGAAGCTGAGCAGGTGCAAGCTGCTTCCAGCACGCGTGTGCCTTTCACCCCAGGACGTTCGCTGTGTCACCTTCATACGTCACCGCTTCCTGATAATACAGTGAAGATTCTCAAAACCGTCCCTCCAACGTCCATGCCGACTTGGGACTCGGTTGTGTCACAGGAACTCTGGTGGGCGGCGCTGGGGAGCTTTGCGGAGGCCTGGTGGGGCCCAGAGGCTGGGACTCCGAGGGGGCGGGGCAGGGGTGGGGGCAGGCCCTCCCTGTGTTCACGGGTAATCTCCCGTAGATTTATGTCAGGACTTGGCGACGTCCAGGACTGTCCAGGACATCCATCCAGCAGTGTTATGACGGCGTGGCACACGCCGCTCCCGGGGCTGCCTTCCTGTCTCCAGGGTCTCCATTCTGGTCAGCACTACTGACGTCCCTGGCATCCGGGCTGAGCACAGTGTTAGCAGTAAAAGAAGAAAAGGAGTTCCGCACCCAAGTCCTTCTGAGCTGCTCTCATGCCCTTCCTGCTGGCGGGAAGGTGGGGTCAGCTGCACGTGCCTCCTCCGCTGCGGCACCGGCCTCATGCCCAGAGCTGGTGCCCTCCGCTTAGGAAAACGCCCAAGGACTGGCCTGTCACTGTGAGAAGGCCGAAGCCTCCCAGCCGCTGCCCTGCCCAAGGCGGGGGTGGGTGGGGCGTGAGGACAGGGAAGGCGCTGAGCCCACTGCAGGCTGGTCCCCTGCACCAGGGAGGCGCGGCCACACAGGCCTGCCTGCCACCCACTCACAGAGCTGGTTAGGTGCCGCTTGCACGCGTTTAAGAGCTTGGAATATTTTACGTAAAGTTTGCATTTCTAATGTTTTCTGAAAGTGGAAGCTGGGCAGTTTGGTGCCTGCATTTCCTCAGAGTAATGAGAGCGGGCTGAGGAGCACCTGTCCCTCCTGCACCACATCCCTCGCCCCCCGTCGGCTCCCCTGTCCACCCGCACACCGCCACCTCCCCTCCTCTCCTGGGCCAGCAGCCCTCGCCTGGCCCTGTGCCCACAGCCCACACCGGTGTGCACGGAGCCCGGTGTGCACGGAGCCCGGTGTGCACGGAGCCCCGTCTGCACAGAGCCTGGTCTGCACGGAGCCCAGTCTGTATGGAGCCCGGTGTGCACGGAGCCCTGTGTGCACGGAGCCCAGTCTGTATGGAGCCCAGTGTGCTCGGAGCCCAGTCTGTACGGAGCCCAGTCTGTATAGAGCCTGGTGTACACGGAGCCCAGTGTGCACGGAGCCCGGTGTACATGGAGCCCAGTGTGCACGGAGCCCGGTCTGCACGGAGCCTGGTGTACACCGAGCCCGGTCTGCACAGAGCCCGGTCTGCACAGAGCCCGGTGTGCACGGAGCCCGGTCTGCACAGAGACCGGTGTGCATGGAGTCCGGTCTGCACGAAGCACAGTGTACACGGAGCCCGGTCTGCACGAAGCCCGGTGTACACAGAGCCAAGTGTACACGGAGCCCGGTCTGCAAGGAGCCCGGTGTACACAGAGCCCAGTGTACACGGAGCCCGGTGTGCACGGAGCCCGTGTGCACGGAGCCTGGTCTGCACGGAGCCTGGTCTGCACAGAGCCCGGTGTACACGGAGCCCAGTGTACACAGAGCCCGGTGTGCACGGATCCCGGTCTGCACGGAGCCTGTTGTACACGGAGCCCAGTGTACACGGAGTCTGGTCTGCATGGAGCCCGGTGTACACGAAGCCCGGTCTGCAGGGAGCCCGGTGTACACGGAGCCCAGTGTACACGGAGCCCGGTGAGCACGGAGCCCGTTCTGCACGGAGCCTGGTGTACACCGAGCCGGGTGTGCACGGAGCCCGTTCTGCACGGAGCCTGGTGTACACCGAGCCCGGTGTGCACGGAGCCCGGTCTGCACAGAGCCCGGTGTGCAAGGAGCACGGTCTGCACAGAGCCCAGTGTACACGGAGCCCGGTGTACACGGAGACCGGTCTGCATGGAGCCCAGTGTACACGGAGCCCGGTCTGCACGGAGCCCGGTGTACACGGAGCCCACTGTGCACGGAGTCCGGTCTGCACAGAGCCCAGTGTGCACAGAGCCCGGTGTAAACGGAGTCCGGTCTGCACGGAGCCCAGTGTGCACAGAGCCCGGTCTGCACGGAGCCCAGTGTGCACGGAGCCCGGTCTGCACGGAGCCCAGTCTGTATGGAGCCCGGTGTGCTCGGAGCATGGTGTACACGGAGCCCGTTGTACACGGAGCCTGGTGAGCACGGAGCCGGTCTGCACGGAGCCCGGTGTACACGGAGCCCAGTGTGCAAGGAGCCCGGTCTGCACGGAGCCCGGATTACACAGAGCCCGGTCTGCACAGAGCCCGGTCTGCACAGAGCCCGGTGTGCACGGAGCCCAGTCTGTACGGAGCCCAGTCTGTATGGAGCCCGGTGTGCACGGAGCCCGGTGTGCACAGAGCCCGGTCTGCACGGAGCCCAGTCTGTATGGAGCCCCGGTGTGCAGGGAGCCCAGTCTGCATAGAGCCCGGTCTGCTCGGAGCCAGGTCTGCTCGGGGCCCGGTGTGCACGGAGCCCGGTGTACACGGACCCCAGTGTGCACGGAGCCCGGTGTGCACGGAGCCCGGTCTGCTCGGAGCCCGGTCTGCACGGAGCCCGGTGTGCACGGAGCCCAGTGTACATGGAGCCCGGTCTGCACGGAGCCTGGTCTGCACGGAGCCCAGTCTGCACGGAGCCCAGTCTGTACGGAGCCCGGTCTGCACGGAGCCCAGTGTACACGGAGCCCGGTCTGCACGGAGCCCAGTGTACACGGAGCCCGGTCTGCACGGAGCCCTCCCGGGGACGGCCTGTGCTCCTCCCAGCCCACGGGCTGCTTTTACACATCGCCTTACTTTTACTTTAATTTTTTCCTTGAAGAGGGTAAACTAATGACACAGACCAGAGAGAAGGAAAGCCGAAGGAGGAAGGGCTTGCTACTGTTTATAACCTGTGGTCACACCAGACCTTCTGAGGCTACACCATGTGCATGTGCCAGCTCAGGGCCTGCTGCCCCGGCATCTCCTCTCTGACCGGAAGGAAATAAAACCACCATGTTCACTACATTGACACTAGGCCTGTCTTCAGGAGAACAAAAATCTCATTTTCCTGTTTGAGTTCTGATAAGTTTCCATTGTTCTTAACTGGACCAAAATTATCTGTGATGTCACTAAGAATTTAAAATACAAGAAATCAGATAAACACTCCTGGAAAACGGAATTGCTTTTGTAAAGCATGGCAACATCCATGAAATTATTTTAGTAACAGTTGCTAACCATGGAAACAGTTTCTGTTAAGGACTTAAGCTTTCTTTTTAAAAGTTTATGTGAAAGACTTCCCCTCCATATGAGTTTTACCAGAAGTTTATTAAAAAGCGTGAAAATAGACCTTTTTAAAAAAGATACAGGTGACCTGAAACACCTGTTTGCAGAGTGAGGTGTGAGCTGCTTGCCTGCCAGGGTGCCCATCCCGGGCACCTCACTCGCCGAGCCCGCCTTACCTTTGTGTGTCGCTGTGTGAGCCGTTAGAAGTTCTGCACATTTTGTTTCCTCCTCCTGTATTTCCAGATGAATTTGGCATTCGGGGTGAACGCTGTTCACCTGGTCAAGGTTTTAAAAAAACAGAAATAAGTAAAAATTCCACCCTAAGCGGACACTCAAGCAAATGTTCATAAAAAACCCCAAATTGAAGAGTTTTAAACTGCTTCCAAACTAACACTCATTTGAAAGCGATCACCTTCATGTTTCTGGCAGGATTATCTTGAAAAGCTACACTGTTTCCTTTGTGAAGGAAACATAAAACAGATATAGAACCTAACAGCATGTCTTCTGAACAGGAAAGCAAACTCACAGAGTACATGGCATGTTGTTAGTGTACAATGTGGCGGCAATAGAGCTCTTTAACCCAATAACCTTTCAATATTCACGTCCTCCGTGTCGTAGCCCTGATTTAATGACAGTGAATCCGTGTTCACTGGCGAGACCACCCCGAGCACCGCTGCCCAGCAGCCAGCAGCCTTGGATAAGGGCCGCCTCCCACCACACAACAGCCCCATCAGGATAACCTCATCCTCAGAGGCTGCAGGTCACGTTAGAAACTCCACCTCAGGGCTCGGGGTGCAGGAGCTTTTCAAAAAAGATGAGAGGGGAGGTGGGCAGAGGGAAGGTGGGACAGTCATATCCCTGCCACTAAACACGACCTTGAGGGAGCTGAGACGTGACACAGATAGAGGCTGTGCTGTCTACGGGCCTCTGTCCTGAGACACATGCTGCTCTGTCTGTGCAGAGGCCCAGCAGCTCCTTTTTATCACCCCCCCCCCCCGCCCCCGTGCCATTTTTAGTGGAGTCACTTGGTGTGAAGTAGATGACTGCAGAAACAATAGGGGAGATCAATGGGCCAAAGTTCTCCCGGGAAAAGGCAAAAGAGTAACAAAAGTGTCTTGCCAGGGAGCTTGGGACTGTGTGTAAACCTGACTATATGAAGACCACTGAAGTTTGGGAGGGGATTGTAGCTGGTATTTCTGAGACTGCAGAAATGTTTTTAGGAAAGGGAAAATCCAGTACAAAGACAGTTTTTAAAATAGATCATCAGTTTTCAGAAGGTATGCTTTTTGTGGGGACCACATATACATTTCATTGCATAAGAAAGGAATCATTTGAATTTTCCTTTGCATACTCTGAAAGTGAAGTATGGAGGAACAATAAAGGATGCAAATCAAACTTAGAAAGTCCTTGCTCTAGAAAATGTATGCACTGTGGCTGTG